ACCCTTGTTGGCAATCACAGAGGTCAGACGTTTCTTGTAGTTGGCCACCAGGTTTGCACACATCTCAGGAGGGATTTTGTCCTACTCCTCTTTGCAGATCTTCTCCAAGTCATTAAGGTTTCGAGGCTGACGTTTGGCAACTCGAACCTTCAGCTCCCTCCACATATTTTCTATGGGATTAAGGTCTGGAGACTGGCTAGGCCACTCCAGGACCTTAATGTGCTTCTTCTTGAGCCACTCCTTTGTTGTCTTGGCCGTGTGTTTTGGGTCATTGTCATTCTGGAATACCCATCCACGACCCATTTTCAATGCCCTGGCTGAGGGAAGGAGGTTCTCACCCAAGATTTGACGGTACATGGCCCCGTCCATCGTCCCTTTGATGCGGTGAAGTTGTCCTGTCCCCTTAGCAGAAAAACACCCCCAAAGCATAATGTTTCCACCTCCATGTTTGACGGTGGGGATGGTGTTCTTGGGGTCATAGGCAGCATTCCTCCTCCTCCAAACACGGCGAGTTGAGTTGATGCCAAAGAGCTCCATTTTGGTCTCATCTGACCACAACACTTTCACCCAGTTCTCCTCTGAATCATTCAGATGTTCATTGGCAAACTTCAGACGGCCCTGTAAATGTGCTTTCCTGAGCAGGGGGACCTTGCGGGCGCTGCAGGATTTCAGTCCTTCACGGCGTAGTGTGTTACCAATTGTTTTCTTGGTGACTATGGTCCCAGCTGCCTTGAGATCATTGACAAGATCCTCCCGTGTAGTTCTGGGCTGATTCCTCACCGTTCTCATGATCATTGCAACTCCACGAGGTGAGATCTTGCATGGAGCCCCAGGCCGAGGGAGATTGACAGTTATTTTGTGTTTCTTCCATTTCTGAATAATCGCACCAACTGTTGTCACCTTCTCACCAAGCTGCTTGACGATGGTCTTGTAGCCCATTCCAGCCTTGTGTAGGTCTACAATCTTTTCCCTGACATCCTTGGAGAGCTCTTTGGTCTTGGCCATGGTGGAGAGTTTGGAATCTGATTGATTGATTGCTTATGTGGACAGGTGTCTTTTATACAGGTAACAAACTGAGATTAGGAGCACTCCCTTTAAGAGTGTGCTCCTAATCTCAGCTCGTTACCTGTATAAAAGACACCTGGGAGCCAGAAATCTTTCTGATTGAGAGGGGGTCAAATACTTATTTCCCACATTAAAATGCAAATCAATTTATAACATTTTTTGTTATTATTCTGTCTCTCACTGTTCAAATAAACCTACCATTCAAATTATAGACTGATAATTTCTTTGTCAGTGGGCAAACGTACAAAATCAGCAGGGGATCAAATACTTGTTTCCCTCACTGTAAGTAAAAATACTTACTACTTAAGTCATTATTTTGGGGTATCAGTACTTTACTATTTATATATTTGACAACTTGTACTTTTACTTCACTACATTCCTAAAGAAAAATATGTACTTTTTACTCCATACATTTTCCCTGACACTCAAAAGTACATCTCTGGTCATCTCTACTGCCTCTGATCTGGCGACTCACTAAACACAAATGCTTTGTTTCGGAATTATGTCTGAGTGTTGGAGTGTGCCCCTGGCTATCCGTACATTTAAAAAACATGAACAATTGTGCCATCTGGTTCACTTAATATAAGGAATTTGAAATGATTTATACTTTTACTTTTGATACTTAAGTAAATTTATGCAATTACATTTACTTTTGATACTTAAGTATATTTAAAATTTAATACTTATAGACATCAAGGAAAACGCTGTGTCTGGTGCAAACCCAACACCTCTCATCACCCCGAGAACACCATCCCCACAGTGAAGCATGGTGGTGGCAGCATCATGCTGTGGGATGTTTTTCATCGGCAGGGACTGGGAAACTGGTCAGAATTGAAGGAATGATGTATGGCGCTAAATACAGGGAAATTCTTCAGGGAAACCTGTTTCAGTCTTCCAGAGATTTGAGACTGAGACGGAGGTTCACCTTCCAGCAGGACAATGAACCTAAGCATACTGCTATAGCAACACTCAAGTGGTTTAAGGGGAAACATTTAAATGTCTTGGAATGGCCTAATCAAAGCCCAGACCTCAATCCAATTGAGAATCTGTGGTATGACTTAAAGATTGCTGTACACCAGCGGAACCCATCCAACTTGAAGGAGTTGGAGCAGTTTTGTCTTGAAGAGTGGGAAAATCCCAGTGGCTAGATGTGCCAAGCTTATAGAGACATACCCCAAGAGACTTGCAGTTGTAATTGCTGCAAAAGGTGGCTCTACAAAGTATTGACTTTAGGGGGGTGAATAGTTATGCACGCTCAAGTTTTTTTTCTTTTTCGTCTTATTGTTTGTTTCACAAAAAAATATATTTTGCATCTTGAAAGTGGTAGGCATGTTGTGTAAATCAAATGATACAAACCCCCCCAAAAAATCCATTTTAATTCCAGGTTGTAAGGCAACAAAATAGGAAAAATGCCAAGGGGGGTGAATACTTTCGCAAGACACTGTAGCTGATAGGCAGCGGAGAGGCCAGGTGAATCATTGCGCATGAAAGAACACTTAAGACACGCAGCTCAAAAAGCTCCCTACTGATCTTGTTTAGGCCATACAAATGTAATTTACTATATAACGGATGCCCCTCTTCACATTTCTCAAAATAGAAAAAAAGCTAACATAAAATAATGACTAATTTAATTCATATGAAACTATTTTTTTCATGCTGAAACAGTCCATTTTCAATGTTTTTCCCCAAAAACCTTCCTAATGTTGACTGCAAAGTAGGCCTACCTGGCAGAATGATATCATTATCATTTGTATCAATGGGGTGCACATTTGTTTTGCATACTCTGCCATCATATGTGCAGTAAAGAAAGCTGACAGAAACGCCGCTAGCCTAACACAAATGTACTGTGACTAAAACTCAGTTGGGACATACTTTCATGGTGCTCTCCAACAGCTGACACTAATATAGTGGATTGGGGGGGTACTCTAACTGTGACTCAAACCCTGGTCCCTGGTCCCTGTCATTCCAAAACCATTATACTGTCACAATCCTCGCTATATGAGCCATGATGAGGGGTGGCAGGTAGGCTAGCGGTTAAGAGCGTTGAGCCAGTAACTGAAAAGTCGCTGGTTCGAATCCCCAAGCCGACTAGGTGAAAAGTCTGTCGATGTGCCCTTGAGCAAGGCACTTAACCCTAATTGCTCCTGTAAGTCGCTCTGGATAAGAGCGTTTGCTAAATGACTAAAATGTAAATGTAAAATGTAATGATACAATTCCTATCAAGTGGAGTAACCGTATTGGCACGATCCCATAGGGTGTTTTCCTTTCACGCCAGAGACCTTGGTGTTAGAAGTGGGATGGCGGCCGTGCGGCCATCGGAACGCACGGCTCAGATGTGCTAGGTGGCTGGGTAGTCGAAGCACAGCGACGTGCCTTCAAGTACGGAGGGGGCAGTGTAGCAAACCTCAATATATGAGCCACGTTACAATTCCCAGCAACTGGGTTAACCCTATTGGCACGATGTTTGTCTTTCACGCTAGCGATCTGTGTTGTATTCCCTGCCCAACCGTTCGCTACAATACCAAAAGGCTAAATTCTCTTGGCTAGGTTGCTAGGTGTTGTAGAAATGTTGTTTAGTGTTATTACAAGGGGTGCAAGTTCAATTACTTTTTTACATTATTTTTTGCTGGCTCGCCACACTTTAAAAAGTAAATAATCTGTTATACAGTTAATTCAATTTGTATGGCCTTAGGGACATAATTGTTTTCAAGTGAGAACAATTGAGTACAATTCTACTATAGACTGTAAACTGGAGTGAAAATTTCATTGGAATAATGGTGCAAAAGCCCTGTTATTTGAATGTTTAATTCCATTTGGATCAGTTGTGGGTCTACTCTCAGATTATAGAGTCTAGAAAGGCACAGTACAGGACAGTCGGGCTGTATTTTTACTTCTGATACTGATGCACTGTCTGTTGCTGATCATCATTCTCCCAAGTCGTCCTATATAGTGTAGCGACATAGTCCTATACTCCCAGTAGGCCCAGTTATTCAGGAAAGCTTAACACGCGTTCTGCCTCCTTTTCCGATCCGAGCGGCTATTCCTCGACCTAGAACCTAAGGCTTCAATATAGCCTAAATATTTGTCATTTAACTTTTAAAATGTATGACCTTTTATGTGTGGCATAAACACACAACCCGTCACAATGTTTTCATCTGACTAGGCTACTTCAAAAGTCTCCTGTAACCTACCTGCGAACGTTTATCCACTCCACTCAAATATAATTCCAGCATCCAAACTGCACACCGGCCATTCAATCAATGGCAAGAGACATCTGTTACAAAACATCAAACATTTTAATGACATTCGTAGATTGTCAAGCCAAGCCTTTGGTACTGAGTAGGGAGGGATCTATTTTCTGTTTGTCGAGATTGACATAATCTATTGGATTGTAGTGTTGAAAACGTAAACCACGATGAAGTCGGTAATCGGTATGCAGTTATGCATTACTTATTGGTTGTGTGTGGTGCAATGGCACAGAAACTTGTTGGTGGAAAACGTTGCATATGTTTTATATAATTAAGTAATGAGGCACGAGGGGGTGTGGTATGTGGCCAATATATCATGGCTAAGGGCTGTTCTTACGCATGATGCAACACGGAGTGCCTGCATACAGCCCTTAGCCGTGGATAAGAGCGTAAATGACTAAAATGTAAAATGTATATTGGCCATATACCACAAACCCCAAGGTGCCTTATTGCAAAGGGAGGGTCATGTGAAAATGCGTCCGAGGGCCCTAAGCGATCACTTATGTTTAGAGCCAGCCCTGCACAAGTTGGTGTTTTGAACCCTATGAACTGTGCGCATGGGATACCACATAACCACATAACCATGTAAAAGGTCTGAATGTAGGCATAGTTATCCTTGTTCAATACTGGACAGCCCTGGTGAGGTGCAGGTAGGGTTGTCGTGGGAGAACAGTAGTAAGTTACCCTATGACACCAGTAGAGGGTCACAGCAACTGGGCAGGTGAGGTGAGACCTTTCTGCAAGAGAGTAGTTTCCTGCCAACAGTAACTCTGGAATGCTGCCAGTATAGGCTACCTCTCTCAGCCACTGATTTGTGAATCTATTGTGACCGTCACTGATAATGGTATCATGTCCCTTTTCCCAGCGCCGCATCCTTCGTGGATTTGTGTCTGACAGTAGAGATGTAGATGCCAAGCTGATGGTGTATGGGGACCAGTGCTGTAGAATGCCTCATTACTAGTAGAAGTCTTCATCCACTGTTGGCCGCTCCAAATTTGCTCCCTACCTCTCCCCCTTGGCCCTAACCCTTTGTTGTTTTTTATCACCCTCTCTCCTCTCTCTCTCCTAGTGAACAGGCCAGCCTGAGGCAGCAGGTGGTGGAGGAGGACACAGAGGATTGGCAGAGAAGTCCAGACTTCACCGGGCTGGAGAGGGTCGGTGGAGTGGACCTGTCGTTCATCAAAGGAGATGACGTCAACGCCTGTGCCCAGCTAGTGGTACTCAGCTACCCAGACCTAGAGGTAAGACACTGACTCGGACCATTTCTATGCTAATGCAAACCATGGGCTGTATCTTAATGCTATACATTTGTTTCCTTTTCTCCTCTGCCTCATAGGGACTGTTTGAGCATACTGGATGAAAGAAAGATGGTGTTCTTTTTGTATTTCACCTGTATAGCTCTTCTGTATTAGTGTGGATCAAGGAAAGGAGACAAGGAAAGGAAGTGACTTGAAGGTATTGACATACAGGCCATGTCTGTTCAGTCATCCTAGCAGTTTGTGACCATGAGTCTTGCCTCAACTTTTCATTGCCTCTATTTTTCATTCTTAACCGTTCCACTCCCTCTATTGGACCCGACCCTAATTCTCCATCAAGGGCTGTCAACACATTCTGTAACACAACCCATCATAATTAATGATATTTGCCAGCTTGTTTTGTTGATACATGGACCAATTTTGTTGTAATGTTATTATACTAAGGCTAATTAAATGTTCCCCAGTCAGAGCAGACACAATCATTTACCCAGAGTCTCTCCCATTGGTTTTTATTGGATTTATTCACGTCATAAGCCCAAACAATTTCAGTATAGCCAAGAGCCACAATTAGTTTTGACAAATTGGCTGCTTGAAGTGAAAATAGTGTTGAATATCCAAGGATGAATATTTGAGTAATTTTCTGAATTACAGTAATTTGTGTGACATTCACATGACAATTAACATAGAAGATTGTAAAATACTAAATGAAAATTCTGACAATGACAGGCATTTTTGCAGTATTACAACCACTCCTCCTCAATCAAGCGCAGGTCAGCAGCTTCTTCATGACGAACTCGATCCAGTAGACGGCCCTGTCCAGTGGCTTCATGGGATGGTCTCTGTGCAGTCTGGAGAGCCTCTGCATGTTGGACTTGTAGGCCCCATTGTGGAGAACTTCCTGCAAGCCCTGAAGAAAGATCCCTCTATTAAAACTGCCAATGTCTAAATCCTTGGCGGCTCCTCTCTCTTCCAGCCGGAGAAGATTGTCAAATTGTCTTGGAACAGTGGCAAACCCAACACCATGGTAAATGGCCTCCTGGACACCATTTGTAACCCCATGTGACACAAATGCTCTGATCTTGTCATGACCAAGGAGGTCAGACTGAGGCAGCCATTTTACCAGGAGGGTATTGTTAGCCATAATGGAGGGCTTGTCGCTAACATGTTTCCACATGACTTTCTGAGGCATCTGGGAAAAGGCAGAAGCAATTTCAGTGGATACATCCCTCGTAAGCCTGACTAAGGATCCTAACTACATTATAACGACCCCATGTTCTCCAGAGCTCTGAACAAACTCTTCTAGCTCTGTGGAGAGCGGTTGAGCAGGCTTACAGTAGAAGCCACCAATGTGTACAATGTTTGGCATAGTTGGACGTGGAGACTCGAAAACTAAATCTGAGCGAATCAACCATAGGTCAGCTGAACGGAGCAATGTGTAATAATATCTCGGCCAAAGTATTTATCACAAAGCTCATCATAGTATAGATCGAACTCTACAATTTCCTGGTAAACCATAATACCATAAAACATTATATTTCTGAGCCTCTGTAAGAAATATCCTCCGATAAACCTGATCTAAAAACTGAAACAAATGACAATGGTTAGGGAGAAATAGCAAAATGGGCCATACCAGCTGTGGTTCAACGAGCGCTGTCAACTAAAGGCAATCTAATAAAATGCGCCAGCAAGACTCCCCCACCCCATGCAGGATCTGTGAGCACAATGTCATACCTCGCTTCCACAAGGCTTTTCATGTGTTCTTTATCCTCAACCATTACTCTTACCGTACCACACATACTTTCTTGAATCTTTGAAAGTATATCAACATGAGCATTTTGTTCTCTGAAGAATTTCATAAGAAATGTATTCTCTCTGTGTATTTGAAGGATTGTTTGCACAAGTGATATAATGGAATTTTATCATGCCCGCCTATTGTTGGGATGCTTATCAAGGTGTATAGTAGGGATAGGCAACTGTAGATTCAGATAATTTTCTATTTATCAGAGCCGTTAGGTTTTGTACCAGAATCAGTCCGGCTTTAAAGGGATAGTTCTGTGAAATTATATATTTAGATTTTAAAAAAGGAAAACCCGCACACTGAAAAAAGACAGGCGACAGGCTTATTTATTTTTCATATTTGCAGTGAAACGATCGTAAGCACTTAAGTCAAGGTCGGTCACCTGTCGTTTTTCAGGGTGCAGTATATACTCTTGTTTTTTAATGCTCGTTTCTGCCAAAACCAGCACCTGGACCTAGACACACTGCTGTGCACAAAAGTTTCTCTTTCTTTGTTTATATATTTATATATTTGTATATACAGTGAGTTTCAAAAGTATTTGGACAGTGACATATGTATTGTTGTTTTGGCTCTGTACTCCAGCACTTTGGAATGAAATTATACAATGACTATAAGGTTAGTGCAGACTGACTGTCAGCTTTAATTTGAGGGTATTTTCATCCATATCGGGGGAACTGTTTAGAAATATCAGCACTTTTTGTACATAGTCCCCCCATTTTAGGGAACGATTAATGAATGAATCGTGAATAATGATGAAAGTTACATAGGCATAAATATCATACACCCCCCCCCAAAAAAATGCTAACCTCCCCTGTTATTGATAATGGTGAGAGGTTAGCATGTCTTGGGGGTAAGATATATGTGCGTCTGTAACTTTCTCACTCATCATTATTCACGATTCATTCATAATTATCCGTAATCATGGTAGCATCCACGTGAATGTAGAAGTGTTCAGAAACATTTTCTATTCTTATTTACAATAAAAGTGACTCCAAAATGACACAATACATTATTTACCAATAATTTCTATTGGCCATAAAATATTCTGAAACATAACCAAAACAAACTGAAAATGCATCCAACAAGTTTGTAGAGTCACAAGATTGCCTTCAGAAAGTATTCACACCCTTTGACTTTTTCCACATTTTATTGTGTTACAGCCTGAATTTAAAATGGATTAAATGTAGATTTTTTTTACTGGCCTAAATACAATACCCCATAATGTCAAAGTGGAATTATGTTTTTAGAAATGTTTACAAATTAATAAAAAATTTAAAGCTGAAATGTCTTGAGTCAATAAGTATTCAACCCCTTTGTTATGGCAACCATAATAAATATGTTCAAGCATAGTGGTGGCTGCATCATGTTATGGGTATGCTTGTAATCATTAAGGACTGGGGAGTTTTTCAGAAATTTTTTTAACGGAATGGAGCTAAGCACAGACAAAATCCTAGAGGAAAACCTGGTTCAGTCTGCTTTCCACCAGACACTGAGAGATGAATTCATCTTTCAGCAGGACAAAAACCTAAAACACATGGCCAAATCTACACTGGAGTTGCTTACCAAGAAGACGGTGAATGTTCCTGAGTGACTGAGTCACAATTTTGACTTAAATCTACTTGAAAATCTATGGCAAGACCTGAAAATGGTTGTTTAGAAATGATCAACAACCAAGTTGACAGAGTTTAAAGAATTTTGAAAAGAGTAATGGACAAATGTTGCACAATCCAAGTGTGGAAAGCTCTTAGAGACTTACCCAGAAAGACTCACAGCTGTAATTGCTGGCCAAAGGTGCTTCTACAAAGTATTGGGTGTCAATAATTAAGGAAATTAGATATTTTTGTATTTCATTTTAAATACATTTGCAAACATTTCTAAAAACATATTTTCACTTTGTCATTATGGGGTATTGTGTTTAGATGGGTGAGGAAAAAATACATATTTAATCTATTTTGAATTCAGGCTGTAACACAACAAAATGTGGAATAAGTTTAGGAGTATGAATACTTTCTGAAGGCAATGTATTAGATATAACACGGGCACACATTTATGCCGGTGTTCTCTGTTGTCTGTTCCCTGTGCCCACTACCAGCTGCTGTATGAAGACAGTCAGATGGTGACCCTAACCGCCCCCTACATCTCAGGGTTCCTGGCATTCAGGGAGACCCCCTATCTGCTGGAGGCCCTGCAGCGCCTGGAGACGACCCAGCCCAGCCTGCTACCTCAGGTCAGGGCCTGGCCACACACACCCTGGCTTATCATTGGCATTGGAGATGTTGCAGTTTAACTGACTTAGTTACTGTCATACTCCGAGAACCCGAATGTCTCAATTTTGTTGAAACTAAATATCACTCTGAAATGTCTCAGACTAATGTCTAACTTTTGTTGAGACTAAAGGTTAGTACAATTTCATTGAAAATTAGTACAATTTCATTGATGTTGTCGGTTTGCTGTGTCCAACTGTTTAACTGTTTACCTCAGCTATCCTATCCCCTCTATCTTCCTCTCCCACGATGTGACTCCAGTCAGCTTTATCATCCATTCCTTCCCACTCTCCTGTGTTAGTCACAGCCCACACAAATCACTCATTCCCACTTCAAGTCGGGCCCCTGTCCACACACACACACGCAAAACACCTCTCCCACGCAAAACACGCGCACACTACCCTCATGGATTTATCACTGACATTTACCCATTGGCACTGACAGACCAGTCCCTGCTGTTTTATGTACAGCTCCTACAATGATTTCTTTATGATTCACAGAAGAAATATGCCTGTACAACCACCTTGGCACTGTAAGAATTCACTGAATGAGCGGTTGGCATTGTTCAATACATCCATCCAATAAAATCTCACTAGGTTTTGTGAAAACTCTCCTTTAGTTAGCCTGTAATGAAGAAAGACATTATGCTAAGTCAGTGGCGGCTCCTGAAAAAATTCTCAGGAGGGGCAATTTTTCTGATGATTTAGGTGACCTACACACGTGCACGAGTCCGTGCACGCGATTCCAGATATCTTTACCTCTGAATAAACTGCCTTTATTATACCATATCCACCCTGTCCAAAGTCTCTACTTGGTCTCAGTTCTCCAGTAAACTTGTGATTATCAACAGTACACAACGGTAACAAACAATTGGGGGAACTCACGGGGCAGATAGTAACCACTTAAAAGGAAGCGATTCCCAAACCTTCCATAACAAAGCCATCACCTACAGAGAGATGAACTTGGAGAAGAGTCCCCTAAGTAAGCTTGTCCTGGGCCTCTGTTCACAAACACAAACAGACCCCACACAGCCCCAGGACAA